CAATCCCTATAAAGCAACTTGAGGTGTTCAATTCTTTTGTAGGAAGGTCAAAGTGGCTTTGGAGACCAAAGTTCGGCCCCAGATTTATAGAACTGATCCTATGCTTAGAACACCTCTGACTTGTACTTCAGAGGTGATGTCAGAATCTAAGGAAAATTCTTGTGGAATAAACATATGCTACAAATATACTATAGTAAGTATTAGCAATGTGTCTTTTTAAAAATTTTTTGTTAAATGTCAGTGGGGCTCAGTACAGATGGACAAAAAGATTCTACACAGGAATAAAGACTTAGGCTTAAATGACCTATTCCTTTAATGACCCTGCTGTTGTCCTAGAAAACAAGTTCTTTCTGGGTAGGCTACTCTAACCCATAACAGTAGAATTAATGTTTGAGAAAAGAAGTTGAAGAGCTATAAAAGGATTATTTAAAATAGAAAAGTATAATATTTCTCTCATAAAAGTAGGAAGGTAAAAATATTAATTTTTTTGTTTACTTCTGGGTTCTCTGAATTTTTCTTTAGGTCAATGGTCTTTGATGGGGAAAAAAGGTTTCTCTCAATTTTGAGCTATACAGTAAAAGCCAAAGGACTCAAGGTGAGCAGACCAAGAACTAAATATAGGTAGGTTCTTATTTTAATGACTATCATTATGAACCCTAGTTCACTAGAATAAGGTTATTTCTCTGGTCAGGTTGATAGCTCTTATTAGCAAAGTTTTGCATATGTGGATATAAAGACTGCTACTAAATGAGAATTCCACTTTAATGGAGTCTTTCATAAGTCCTTTTCATTGAGAAGTCTAACAACATGTCTTCCTTTTGGTGAAATATTTATGCAGTGCCTGTACTTAATTATCTTACAAAGTTGAATGGTTGAATATTCTTAATAAAATGTGATTTTTTCCAAAATGTTGACTGTCAACTTCAGTATATGTATCCATGTACATTACAAGCACCATATATGAGGGGTCTTCGAAAAGTTCATGGAAAGATTCATGTTGTCTTTTAATTCTATTTTCCCAAGAACTTTCTGAAGGACCCTCATGTACAGTATTCATATGAGATATATACTAATAATCAGCTTTCTGGCTGTTAAGGCTGTAAAATGATAAGAAAGATTCAAACTGAGAAGTATCAGCATATCTCTGAATTTTTTCATTCAAACTCTGCATATGTCATGGCAGTTCACAGTGGGCAAGTAGTTGGGTCATCTTGCAAGATTTGAGGTTTTAGAGTGGTACCCTAGTATTTATCAAAACCTCCCTTGACCCGATAGCAAGTAAGTACTTGTTATTATCCTCTCTCACAATCCTTCACTGTAAATGCTCCCAAAGTCATCAACAGAGCGTTTTTGGTAACAGATTAAGCATTATTAAGACTATCTCGGATTACATTCAAATGTAATTAGAGAGCAAACAAGTTAAACACAGGAAGAGCAATATTTCCTGCTTCAGATGACCAAGCTTGGGAACTAGCAAACCCTCCCTTTTGCAGAACAGCCTCCCTCTTCCACCAAACTTTGTGGACGTGTTTGTGTGTGGCTTGGGGGGTGGGGTGGGGTTGGGTTGGCAGGCCTTCATATAAAGCAAGAATATAACATAACTACCATCTCTATACTGGGGCCATAAGCTTCCATTTGAAGGAGGAGGTGTGCTTATAAGAGCAATGTTGATGTTCCTATATGCTAGATAAAACAGGGCTCTTCTTGTAGTACCAACTCTAATAGCTTCCATGGAAATAACGGGAAGTTTCTGGGTCATCCTTGTACTTAGTATTGAATGACCTAGGGAGATCAAATTGTGAAATTTTCATTTACATAAAATGAAACCCAAGGTCTTTGGTGTTAGAAAATATTCATGTAATGATTCCATATTCAGTCTATTACAAAAAGAAACTCTAAACCAATTTTTAAATGAGGGGGGTGTATTCAACTTAAGATAAAACCATTAAATTCCTGCTCGACTAGCTAGCAAAGTAAAGAAGCCTACAGCAGAAGAAAAAGCCATCTTATTTAAAAAGGAAAGAAGGAAGGAAGAAAAGGAGGAAGGGGAAGAAAAGAAAGGAAAGAAGAAAAAAGAAAGAAAAATGAAATGAAGGAAGGAAGAAAAAGAAAGGAAAGGTAAGGAAAGGAGGAAGGGAGGGAGGAAGAGAAAAAGGAAAAAATAATTTAAGTGAATCCCACAGGGAAAGGCAGTTCAGCAGCAAACTAGAAATTGGGTGGTAAACAAAAATGAGAACATCTTGCAAGTGACCCAGCAGTAAGAGGTCCTTTATATAACACAATTACAGAGTGAGCCAGAGAACCAGTGGGATCATGGAACAAAAAGGATGAAAAGGAGATAATAGATATACTGAATGATTTTCTTTTTTTAAAGAGTCAGCCATTTCTATGTCTAATATATGTTTATAGGCAGATGGGTCAGATGTAATAATAGCACATGTGTACGGGACTCTGGTTCCGAGCTGCACGTGAAGTAGTCAAAAGCATAATAATTAGGACTGAGTGATATAGTATTAGGGCTGGCCCTCCACAAAATGGTTCAGTTGCAAAGGTTGTTTTGGTTTTTTGTACTCCTCTCTCTCTACTGCTCCACTACCTAATTCCTGCTCCTCTGAATACTCAAAGGAGCTCATGCTCTACCCCTTTCAAAATCTGCTGTAAAGAAAGGCTCTGTAAAACTATACATCTATGCGACAGTGGGGGTGAGGAGAGGTTGTGTCAAAATTTCATCTTAAGTCCTATTTCTAATTGTAGAATATGTGCTTCCTGTTAAAGGAATTTCAGGTATTAGTCCAACAGTTGGGAGAGATGTTTACCAGGAAGTCTTCCTGGCACCGTTGGAATCAGAGGTGCTTTCACATAATGCCCTGACCGGATTTGACTTCTGAAGGAAATCAAGGGGAAAAAATATTGTACCTTTAATGAAAACCTGGAACCTGTTATTCTGGATGATCAATGTGTGGATTGCCAGTGTGGCTCCACAGGCAAAAGGGGCCCTGGGAACTATAAACTGATGAGTGTCTGGTTCTTTAGCAGGAAAGCTGGAAGAATCTATAATAAATGCTAGCCTCCTGTACATAAAAGCCATCAACTTCGTTGTGGGCAGCAACGTGGTTTCTGTAAAGGGAATTCATGTGTAATCTTCTATGGATCTTTTCCCTGGGGCTAAACTTACTTTTAAAATGCTTCTAATTAAGTTTGATACTAAGACTATTTTTAAACGTGAATTACCATGGGATTTAAAAAATATCTTTTATGATGTAGTAGGAACCGGTTTATGGGGAAAAAAAAGAAAATATATGGGAGAAACACATTTTTCTGTCAGAAGGAGAAATAGTAGGCTTCCTTGGGGGTGGGCTCTGGGAAATCCTCTAATTTGCAGATAATACTCAGCTTTTCCAGGCAGTGAAATGCCAGGCTGATGGGGGATGAAGAAGGATCTCAGGAGGTTTCATGATTGGCAGATGAGTTTCAATGGGGGCACGTGTAAGGTGATCAATTTAAGGAGGGCCAGATATTACAAACTATACTTGCAGGATGATGAGTGCTGACCTTTCAATTAAGACCCAGGAAAGAGCTCTAGGAAACCCTGTGGACACCAAACTGAAGAGAACAACCTAGTTTCCTGCTATGGCCAAAAAAAAAAAAAAAAAAAAAAAAAGGTAACAAAATGTTGGGCACTGTCTTTTTTTTTTTTTAAAGAAAAACAAAATAATTCTTTTACACAGAACCACAGGACGTCTTCGTTGGTAAAGT